AACCCTACCTTTTAAAAAATAGGTGGGGGGAAGGGTTCATCTTACTAGGCTTTGGGGGACAACGAGAGAGACAAGAATACAAGAACCAGAGGGGATAATGGACAGGATCGAGAAGGGGCCACTCTTCAATGCTTCCAGTGACTCTTTACTGTGGTCCTTCCTGACGAAACACAACTTTGCAAATGTCACATCCTCCACCTTTTGGTAGGGACAGCCTTCAAGGAATTCCTATCGCCTGTGGCATATTATTCAAACGTGTTCCCAACATTCAAGGCCCTCCATAATCTTGCTGTCACCTACTTTTACAAGGCTTTCTCCTCCTATAACCTGTGGACTCTTCTCCAGTGGAATTTCTCTCCTCACTCCTTCGGGGGTCTTCCTACCATCCCTTCTTTCCCCATCTTTGCTTATCTCTCACTTCTTTCCCACTGTAGGTCAACTCAAATCTCACTCCCTCCAGAAAGTCTTTCCTGAAACACTGCACTTTTCAATGACCACCTCTTCCTTTCTAACTCCCTCCCTTGAACTAGAGGTTACAGACCAGCTCACAAAGTGATTTTTTGCTTTATTTGAATTAGCTTCCAAATATACAACTCAGAAATTCTCACATAAAAATCTGAATTTCTAGCTTCTCTTGAAAAATCAGAAGACATGATAACACTGGGTCTGCATTCCTCCTGGCTAGAATAGGCTGGAGTTGAGTGCTAACAGCTAGCCTTTTTTCTAGGTTGTGCACTATCAGATTTTATTCTTCTACCTGGCTCACAATACTCATATACACATGAACCTGACTCATGCAAGCTTTTGAGTTTGTGACCCTAGGTCTAGACCATGGCTGGACCCTTGGTAGTTATTTATGTATGTATTTATAATGTCTTCCAGAAAAGATCCACATGGCCAATTCCACATATTATTCCTATTTGGGATTCCCCACAATGCCTAACACAGCCACCTAAACATAGGAGAATAGTTAAGGTAAATGATAATAATGAGAACCTAGCCTGCCTTTTTTTTTAAGCAACCCATCACCCAATAAAACCACAGTTACTTTATTCCAAAATTTAATGCCAAGGGGGGAAAAAAAAGTTTATATAAGGAAATATAACAGCCTGAGAAAGTCGTGGGAGGGAAGAGGGGAAGACAGTCCCAGGATGGTCAGTTTCAGTGATACCAGCCCAGGTCTTGCATCTAGAGCAAGGAGTTTGAAGTTTAGCTATTGCATGTAGCAGGTGTTTGTGATTCCCGTGTAAGGCTAGAAGGTTCTGTTGGTCCCTGTTTCCTCTCTCATGTCAGACAACTGAAATCTGAAGGAAGGAAGAAAAAGAGGAAGCATGACTGGTAGTGGTGATGGACACTGAGTTGGAGGAGGGAATAGCTACTCAGGTGACAGTCACCCTCCCATTTTATGAATGAGCAGAGGGCTGATCTGAACCTGTGGTACCCACAGAGGGAGCTAGAGCTTTGGGGTGAGGCTAGGCTAGGATTTGACTCTGCAGCCAACACACCTATCACTGCATGAAGAGGTGTATTTTTCCCATGAAGCTAATGAAGCTTCCCCTTCAGGAGCCCTTACTGGCACAAGCCTCCGGGCAGGGCCTTACCAATGTGTTCATGTGGTCATTATAACTTTGCAAAAGTAAGAACTTTTATTAGCAATGGTTAAGAGCCCTGTTTCTTTTTAATCAGACGCTCTCTCCAATACCTTCCCCTTGGGCAATTTTGGGATCTGGCTAAGAGGAAGTTGAGTTGAGATACAATTATTTCGGATTATATTTATATGGTTTACGGTCACTTTCATATAGAGTTATCACTGGGCACATACATATAGAAATGGATTTCAAGAATACCCCTATTATCCACTGTGCGGATTCATCTGGGATTATGACCCAAAATTGTAGGGCCAGCGGTCCTATATCTTCTATCCTGATATAAGTGGCATGTAGATTGCAGAGGAGAGACAAGGTTTGAAATGTATGGAGCCAGAAGCTAGTCTGTGGGAAATTATTCCCATCATCACACACATACAATTTCAAGTGAAGAGCTCGGTTATTAACGCCTGGTACGTCAGCCAGCATCCAAGACGGAGCCCACTGTTTCTGCCTCCTGTTGCTCATGCCCCTGCTTAGTGTTCTCCCACACTGTGCCAGGGTTGATCTGCGTCATCAGCAGATAACGGGAAAAGTGGTAGTATGTCGCTTCCAAGACTAGATCCTAGAAAGCATTGTAGCTTACAGCTTCCGTCTTGGTCTCTCTCTCTCCCATTTCCTGAGCGACCGCTTGGAGAGGTCCACATAATAAGACGCTGAGGTCTCCTGTTCACAGCTGTAAGAGTGAACTTGGAGACAGATCCTCCGGCCCTTGGGTGACTTGTAGACCTGGCTGACAACTTGATTCCATACTCATGAGAAACCCTGAACCTGACCACCCAGCTGAACTCCATCTGATTCCTGACCCACAGACATCGTGAGATAATAAATGTTTGTTGTTTCAAACCACTAAGTTTTTGGCTAATTTATTATGTAGTAATAGATAACTAATACAAATAGTACATATGGTCGTTCTCTCCTGGGCAAGAATATATTCAATAATAATTCAATAATAACTCAAAAAATCATAGTGCTTGTGTATGTAAGAAAACTGATGGAAATTTCCCTAAATTTGGCAATTCTGTAATTTTTATGATGTTACCAATAAGCTGGAGAGTTGAAAGAAACTTTTCTAAGCTATCATTGATAAAGTTATTTTTATGAAAGATAACCACAGGAAAGATGCATTTATTTTTTATTCTCTTCATAGAAAATATTACAAAATTGTTGCCATATGAAGAGGTAAAGAGTATGCATCCAAACATATACAAAAGTGTGTAATGGAGGATTATAGAGGTATGCCAGTGTATTGATTTAAAAATTATGACTTTTTGGGGGCTTGTAAATGTGTAATTTGTTGTGATTTCCTTTCCCAGTCTATGGATATTCACTTGTAAATATAATTTTGTTTCAGCAATTTTGCATTCTTTATGTAGAGGGCTCTATAAAATCTTTGCTCTCACACTGGATATGGTAAAATGTTTTGTCAATTATTTACTGAAAAGACCTAAAGACTGTAATTCATTTAGATTCAAGTTGGGGTTTGAGTAGGGAGAACCTGGCATGTGCCCTTGGTCTATATACTTTACCTCCTTATGATATATAAGGGGGGACAAGCCCATCCACCCCTGAGAATTCTGTTTTTATATATAGGGGGTGGATCTTCATGTGAAATCTCCCCTGGCTTCCAAGGACCTCCTGATTAGTTCTCCCTCTTTTTAATAGCCCCAGACCTTTAATTTCTGCCCTCTTCAATGTTTTAATCTATTATTTTTCTTTTCCCTCTTGGAAGAGAGTAATGGAAAATGAAACATGACTATTTCCATCAATATGGAGCTGCTGAAACTTATTGCAAAACAGTCTTACAGTGTATGGGAGTTGTGAAAAAGAATATGGCAGGCCACTAAGCACTGATGCTCATTAAATATTCGAGATATGTTGTAGAGTAAAAAAGAAAAGCAAACTGCAAAACAATATGCAAAGTTTTAGCCTGTTTGAATCTTTAAAATACTGTTTTTTATTCATTCTAAGATGCACATTCTTTCAAATGCTAACATCTCTGATCAATAGCCTGTCAGCGTTTGATTAGAGGTTTTGTTTTGTTTTGTTTTGGTCTCGGAGGTCTGTAAAATTAGATGCACCTTACAATCAATGATAATTTGATTTGATGAAACAAAATGTTACCAATCAGACCTGGATTTAGAAAGTCCTAGGCTGAAAAAAAACCATTCAGCTGTTTGAAAAGCCCTCTGTTAAACTGAAAAACCCTCGGTATTGTGGCACAGGCAGGACGTGGTTACCAGGAACCTGTTTGTTAGGTCTGGTTGACATGGCAACCAGAGTATTGTTATGTAAGGCAGGGATTGGGGCTAGGATTCTAACGTGGCTTAAACTCACATAAGGAGCCTCAGGACCCCCTGACCTGATACTACCCAATCGTGGGAAGCTGGGACTCCCATGCTGGCTGGTGGAATAAGCCTAAGAGGAAATAAAAGGTGTGGAGTCCCCTGTGCTTGTCAGGCGTATCTTTTAACCCAGGGAGGTAAAATGTTGACGCCTAAGCCAGATCTGTTCAGCCACTAACCCCGGTTGGATCTTGCCATCCTACTATTTCAGTGTAATATATCTAAATATATTTGCATACAAAAAAGTAAGAAAGAATATATGCTGTATTAATGAGAGATTATTTCACAGGAATGAGATTAATGGAGATTTAAAAGTTATACTTTTTTATATTTTTGCATAAACATTTTTTTTAAAAAAACCACTTATATGAATCCGTTTTGTAAATGGAGAAAAAAGGTAAAAACATCTAAAAAGGGAAAATACACGATAGTATTAATAATAAGGTGGGGAGCAGTTGTGGCTTTTCCTTTTCATTCTCCAACCCTTAATGAACTTCGTAATGAGCGCGAATTATTTTTCTAATACAAAAGCTTGTTTTAAGAAATAAGAGAAACTCCCCTCAAACCCAATTTCACCTCTTTATATAACAAATGAATACACAAATTCTACAACATCGCGCGAGAAAGGTAGTTTATTTCTAAATTAAATTTATACACCGTTCATAAGATTTATTAAACGCACGCTTTGGTAAAAATAAACTGAGCGCCCATGTCTAAAATAGACACAGTTCTGAGGCTTTCTCGCTTATGACCTCATTTGAGTTACAAAAAATATATATTTATTTTTGTAAATACATATTTACAAACGCAAAGTGAAAGCGCGTGCCTTGCACAGGAGGTGACCCCACGGCCTAGCCACTGCCGCGTCACGTGACCCTGTGACCCGCCCCCCCCCCACCTCTCCCCCGCGGAGGCCATCTTAAGCATTGCCTCATATAGGAAACTACATCCCCCAGAATCCCCGCGCCCCGCGTCGTGTTGGCACTTCTACCGGCCGGGTCTTAGAACCGAGCCTGTCGTTGGGCGCCATCTTTGACGCTGGCAGTCTTCGATTTCTGCTGGTGCTGCTGCTGTGAGGACGGCGGGCGGCAGTAGCTAAGAAAGAAGAAAGACGTGGCAGCGAGCGGGCGTCGGTGATAGTGTCGGCGGTTCGGTAAAGTTTCTGTTTTCTGGTAACTAGACCCGTTTTTTGATTCCCGGGTGGCTTGGCGCCGGGGAGGTGGGGGAGAGGGCGAGGGGAGTGGCCGCGGCCTCCCCTCGCCCCTGGGTCGCGGCCTAGCCTGGGAAGTCAGAGCGGGTCTTCGGCGCCGCCGTCACGACCTCCCCTCGCCTCCCGGCCGCCGCCCTCGCCGGGGAGGGCCGGGAGCCCAGGCGCGGCTCCCAGCGCCGACCTCCCCACCCCCGCGGCGCCGGCTCCCTTCCCGGCCAGCCCCCCCTCCCCCACATCCGGTGCTGGCTGCGCTCTGCGAGCGCGGGGCAGCCTCGGGGAGCCGCCGTGCCCCCCGACTGCGGAGGGAGACCTGATGCTAGATTGCTTTCTTCGGGGGCATCGGTTTCCTTCGTTTAGCGGACCCCCACCGCCTAAACCCAGCCGAGTGCCCGGAGCTGAATTTACCTACTCTCGTTCCTCTCCAGGGTTCCACTACTTTGGAGATTTTCTCACACTCCACATAGAGAAGGCCACCGACCTTATTCCGGTATCCTACCCTCCTTCCCTACCTTAATTACACTCCCACCCCAGCCCTCCGCATCGGAGTCAAGAACCGCAGGGACACTTCCGTTCTCCTTGTAGAAGTGATGAAACCGTAATGAAGAACAACCCCTAAACTCCCATAATCGGTGCGGATTCCTATGGGGAAGGCCCATATTGTTGACATCTTACAGGCCTTGGTTCTGGATCTTGAGAAGGAGGCTGTGGAACTAGTGATAGCGATGCTTTTTAGGGTTAATGTATGTAGGTATTGGGGGAAGGCGAGGGATCAACCCACAAGGAATGGAAGTGGTTTAAAGCTTATATTTCAGCTTTTGCTGCTCATGTAAGAGTCCAGTTTCTAAGTTAGTTACAGGCTGTAAAGCTTCTTCACTCTAGAACTGTCTGAAAACTAAACTTGGATTAACTCTTGATACAAACAGTAAATTGAAAATGCAGTGACCTTGTTTTTAAATTTTACTCCGAAAGCATGTTTTTTTAGCTACCCACATTTTTTAAAAATGTTAAGAGCTGAAACGGCTCAGCGAGCATTTGCTGTTAATGACCAGTATGTGGAGTCTGACTTAGCTTTCCAGAATTGATATTTGGGGTTTTATTGTCAAATCACAGCCCTAAATGAAGATTGTTGAATGGTGCACTATGTTTTTGTTTAAATGAATTTTCCTGAAATAATTTCAGAAATAAGGGAAATTGCCATTGCTATCATAAGGCATCGTAAAAATGCATATTTTAAAAGCTGAAGCAATTTCAAGCAGATAAGAGTTCTTAATGAAGCAGAAAGAACATGAACCTGGGATTTGGAAGACCTGGCTTCTCATTGCTACTGATTAACTCAACTCTGGGAAAGTGTGCCTGAGTTCTTTTTTCTATAGCATGAGATTGGACTATTTGAATTCAGAACTCAGAGAGTTGGAAGGGATTTTAAAGCCCTTTAAGAGTTTGGGAATGTTCTCCATTGCTGTCACTTTTCCTCCAAAAATAACTGGGCTTGGAAGTCGTTGGTCCAAAGGGAATTTGACTACCCATAGAAATTGGAGACAAGACAATGCAAGCAGAGAGGAACAGCTGTATTTCTGCTTGAGTAATAATCCCACTAACAGATTCTGGTACGAATTTTGGAGACATAAAGAGAATGAATATATGCACCTTAAGTGTACCAGTTTCCTCTCTTTCTCCCGGCAGAAGATGCAGCACTTTTAGTGGTGCTGGGATTCTGGGGTGTGTTCCTATTAACTCTAATACAGATGAAGAAGATGTGGTAGAAGGAAAGATGGTGGCAGAAGGGATGACTAAAGAGGCCAAAATGCCTGCTAAAAAGAAAAGAAAGAAGAGTTTGAGAATTAAGGGTAAAAGGCGACAGAAAAAATTGATCCTTGCAAAAAAGTTCAGTAAGGATTTGGAATCAGGCAGGCCTGCTGCAGATGCCCCTACCTTGTTAGCTTCCAGTGCCCCTGAGCAGGATGAAGAAAGTCTTTTTGAGAGCAATATAGAAAAACAAATCTACCTACCTAGTACCAGAGCCAAGACCTCCATCGTGTGGCACTTCTTTCATGTTGACCCCCAGTATACCTGGCGAGCTATTTGTAACCTCTGTGAAAAAAGTGTTAGCAGGGGTAAACCAGGCAGCCACCTGGGGACATCCACTCTTCAGCGACATCTGCAGGCAAGGCATTCACCTCACTGGACCAGGGCCAATAAATTTGGAGTCACTAGTGGGGAAGAGGATTTTACTTTGGATGTACCTTTATCTCCCTCTTCTGCTGGAAGCAGCGGAAGCTACGACTATATCCCTGCTGATTCATTAGATGATGATAGAATGGGGAAGAAACGTGATAAATCCATATCTGATGCCCTGAGAGCAGAAAGAGGGAGATTTCTCATCAAAAGTAACATTGTCAAGCATTCCTTAATTCCTGGAACTAGAGCCAAGACATCTGCAGTTTGGAATTTTTTTTATACTGATCCACAGCATATCTCAAGAGCAGTGTGTAATATATGTAAAAGAAGTGTGAGCCGGGGTAGGCCAGGTTCTCACTTAGGAACTTCGACACTTCAACGACACCTACAGGCCACACATCCCATCCATTGGGCTGTTGCCAACAAAGACAGTGGTGCAATTGGGAATGGATTAGATGAGACTGAGGCTGAAACTGAGAGAAATGAACTCTTGAGTGATACTTTGCATGGAGAGAAGTCTACAAGCAGCCAAGATTTAACACCTGAGGACCTTAGTGACTCTGATTCAGATGAACTTCCTGTGTTGGAGGTTGAAAATAGAAGATCTGAGAGTCCTGTTCCTGTTGCAGAGCAAGATACTGTGATGTGTGCACAGGAGAGAGAAACAACCTATTGTGAAAATTCAATTTCAAGTCAGATAAGCCAGGCAATTATTCAGATGATTGTGGAGGATATGCATCCTTACAACTACTTCTCAACCCCAGCCTTTCAGAGGTTCATGCAGATAGTGGCTCCTGACTATAGACTACCATCTGAGACTTACTTTTTCTCTAAGGCTGTACCTCAGTTATATGATTGGGTCAGAGAAAAAATTTTTTTAACTTTGGAGAATGTTCAAAGCCAAAAGATTCACCTGACTGTGGACATATGGACCCATGACCCATCCACTGACTATTTCATTGTGACTGTACACTGGGTCTCTTTGGAAACACTATCTTCTCCCAGTAATAGCAGGATCCCCAATTTTAGAAAGTGGGCGGTGCTTTGTGTAACAGGTTTGGCCAAAGACTGTTTGATAAGCAACATTTTACAAGAATTAAATGACCAGATTGGTCTGTGGCTTTCTCCTAATTTCCTGATCCCTAGCATCATTGTTTCTGACAATTCCTCTAGTGTGGTACATGCAATCAAAGATGGTGGTTTTACCCATGTGCCATGCATCCTGCATTGTTTAAATATAGTTATTCAGGACTTCTTCTGTGAGCACAAAAGCATTGAGAATATGTTAATTGCTGCTAGGAAAACCTGTCATCATTTTAGTCATTCGGTCAAAGCCCGTCAGATACTGCAAGAGTTCCAAAATGATCACCAACTTCCATGGAAGAATTTGAAGCAGGATGAAACTGGCCATTGGATTTCTACGTTTTACATGTTAAAGTGGCTCTTGGAACATTGTTATTCAGTTCACCATAGTCTTGGAAGAGCCAGTGGAGTTGTGCTCACCTCCCTTCAGTGGACTCTAATGACTTATGTTTGCGATATTCTTAAACCATTTGAGGAGGCCACCCAGAAAGTGAGTGTGAAGACCACAGGATTGAATCAGGTGCTACCCCTAATCCACCATTTACTCCTTTCTCTGCAGAAACTCAGAGAAGATTTTCAAGTCAGAGGTATTACTCAGGCCCTCAATCTGGTGGACAGTTTATCTCTGAAACTTGAAACCGATACCCTTTTAAGTGCCATGCTCAAATCCAAGCCCTGTATATTGGCTGCTTTGTTAGATCCTTGCTTTAAAAACAGTTTGGAAGACTTTTTTCCTCAAGGTGCTGATTTAGAAATTTATAAGCAGATCCTTGCAGAAGAAGTTTGTAATTATATGGAGTCTTCACCAGAGGTCTGCCATATGGCAGCTTCGGATGCTTCTGATCCCTCAGCTATAGTAGGAACTGATTCATTTACCTCATCTGTCAGAGAAGGCACCTCCAGTTCAGGGTCTCTTGATAGCTCAGCTGCAGATAATGTTGCCATTGGAAGCAAAAGCTTCATGTTTCCTTCTGCTGTTGCAGTAGTGGATGAATACTTCAAAGAGAAGCATTCAGAAATATCAGGAGGTGGTGATCCTTTGAGTTACTGGCAGAGAAAGGTGAGCATATGGCCGGCTTTGACCCAAGTTGCCGTTCAGTATCTAAGCTGCCCCATGTGTAGTTGGCAATCTGAATGTATCTTTACTGCAAATAGCCACTTTCAGCCAAAGCAGATCGTGAGCCTGGACTTCGACAATATAGAACAGCTGATGTTTCTGAAAATGAACTTGAAAAATGTTAACTATGATTATTCTACGTTGGTTCTAAGCTGGGATCCTGAGAATGAAGTTGTTCAAAGTAATAAAAAAGAAATATCTTGATTTCTTTTTCCTTTCTCCATTTAAAATGGGCAACTTATTGCTATGTTACTGTATCCGAGTTGCTATAGTTGTTATATATAGTTACACTAATTATTCTCTAAACACAAGCCTGGGGAAGTTTGTGAAAACACAAAATGTCTTCCTTAGAGGTAATATAATGTTTGACAAAGTGAAGATTAAAGATTTCACAGTAGTAACTCAGTGTAGCTGTCACTTTAAATTTTGTTTATACCAGTTGAGAGAGAAAAGACACTTTTTAATTTAAAAAAATATAGTGCAGCATTGCAAGGCCTTAGGCTGTTTCTGGCTGGTAGATTGAACTGGTAATTGGCTTTAAGTAAAAATTTCTCTTGATGTGAGAAGTTTGATTTCTCTGAAAT